ATATTAAAAGTTAAAAAAGCTACTTATATGCGCAACGGCATATTTTTACTCCGACACAAAAGCAATTGCTTGCGAGCATTAACAAAACTTTATTCACACATTTTTGAGCAATTGCTATTACGGCGAGCATTTGCTTTTAGCTTTTACTTTTACTCAGAGCAATTGCTTGTGAGCAATTGCTCTTTTTTATTCACCCGGCCCATTGACATTTCTATGGAACTTTTTAATAATTCTCTATTTTCTGAAAACTGGGACAAAATTTTGCAAATTCAAGTTACTGCTTAAAACAGATATTCAAAAAATACTATGATAAAGCTTTCCCGGTGGTAACAAAAATTATTAAAACCACGGCGATCTATACTGCTATCTATATTATTTTAATACTTTTTTTTTTCTTTTTTTTTTTTTTAACTTTGTTTCTTAACATTTTAAATTGTCTTTTTTAAATACTTTTGCTTATATATTACGGATTATTGTGTATTACGGATATTTATTTGCGTTACTATTGGGGCTCGGTGATAAGGCTATTTTATGCCTTCTTCTTGCTCCAGCCAATTGTACTTTTTATATTGTTGTACTTTGTAAATATTTTTAACGGCGAAATAAACTAATAAACTAATACTGCAGTATAGATCGCCGTGATAAGAACTAAAGTATTTATAAACCCTTGGATTATACCAGGAATAATAAAATCATCAAAAAAAAAAAAAAAAAAAAACGATTTTATGAAGTGTTTCTAAAAAAAAGAACTTGTGAAAGTGAATTAAGGTATAAAACATATAAAGGTCACTTTGAATCAATTATAAAACTTTCAAAGAAGTTTTATAATTGATTCAAAGTTATTCAAATAAAATAATAAAATTTAAAAGCGACACTCAAGAAACGATTTTTTGGAGGGATTTTAATTTTAAAAAATTAAAATCCCTCCAAAACTTATTATTATTGGAGAATACATTGTAAAAAGAGAATGTTCAATGAAATTTCTAGGTGTAATTCTAGATGAAAACATAATTTGAAAAGACCACATAAGCATGATTGAAAATAAAAATTCTAAAAATATTGGATTACTCTATAAAGCAAAACCATACTTAGATCAATCAAGTCTGAAATACATAAATTACTCATTTATTAAAATTAAATTCATTCTTATCTTACTTATACAAACATTCCTTGGTGCAGCACCAATAAAACAAAGACAAAAAGCTATTTAGCAAACAAAAACATGCAATTAGACTATTATCAAACGCACACCGCCTCTCACATTCTAGGCCATTGTTCAACAATCTAGAAATATTAAACTTGTACCAAATAAATATATATCATCTGCTAATTTTTATCTATAAAACTAATAATAATGCAACACCAAATATCTTCAAATCATTATTTCATAAAATTCAACACAAATACATGACTAAATATTCAAGTAACAACTTTGTTCAACCCAAAACTATATATGAGTCCACCAAGTTCTCAATAACTATTAGAGGACCTAATGTATGAAATAAGATAATCAGTAATGATATTAAAACAATGGTTAGAGCGCTATGGTTAGAGCGCTTGCTTTATAAGCAGGAGATCCATGTTCGAAACGAGCCTTGGACATATTTTCGCGTCATGGTAAGGAAGGATGCGTGAACTTCCTAGTTAAATGCACTTCCGCGGTGCTCTGTGACAAGACCGTATGGTCTTCTTAGAGTACCTAAATAACAATTTAAAAAAAAATATTCTATTAGTGCTGTATCAGCAGGGCCGACGACACCGCGGGGCTAGGGGGGCACTTCCCCGCCCCCCCTCCACTTTTCTTTAAAGAACCTTTTTTTTTTTAAAGAAAATTCTTGATATAGAAGACTTTTTTTAAAAATTGACGATTGGCACTTCCCCTCCCCCCCCCCCACACTTGTAAAGGGGAGCACTTCCCCCCTCCCCACTTCTAAACCCGTGTCGTATGTATGTGTGTATGTATGTATGTATTTATGTATGTATGTATGTATGTATGTATGTATGTATGTATGTATGTATGTATGTATGTATGTATGTATGTATGTATGTATGTATGCAGGCCTTGACAGGAAGCGAGAGCTTTAGCTCTCGACAACACTCCCCTAAAACAGTTTACGGGAGCAATTTATGGCTCTCGCAAAAGTATAACTTTTTTCAGGAAAGTATAATTATCGTTGAAACTAAAATAAAAAACACAATGTCATTTAAAAAAAAAAATTAATTGCATAATATACTGCAATGCTTTTAAAAAAGCACGGTCGTTGCAAAAAAAAAAAAAATTAAAAAAGGCGCCGATTTAAATAAGGAGCAGCTCGCACAGCTCCCCAAGTTCATTTTAGGAGAGTTTTTCTCCGTTCTCGTGTTCATTTTTTCCCGCCGAGGCCTGGTATGTATCTATCTATGCATATATATATATATATATATGTGTGTGTGTGTGTGTGTGTGTGTGTGTGTGTGTGTGTGTGTGTGTGTGTGTGTGTGTGTGTATGTGTTTATGTGTATATGTATATATGTATCTGTGTATGTATGTATGTGTGTATGTATGTGTGTACATATATATATGTATATGTATATATAGTATCTTTTGATTGTAAATTAACTTTTATGTTTTCATCTTTTCATGTATTCTTTTTTTTTGTTGTCGCTGTTGGTTTTTGTTTTCTTGAATGAACTTTTGAAATTTTCTTTCAATAAATAACTTTGAAATTTTAATATATATAGCATTGCAATACCGTAAGTTAACCTTCATGTTATTGAGATTAAATTAGTTTCCTAACTTTTATTAAAAATAATTTCGAAAGACTCTATTAAACTATTTTGCGTTTTGTACAAACTTCTTTGAAACATTTGCTTTTTCCTCTCGTTTTTAATTTTTAATTTTATTTACAACATATTTATATAAATGTCTTGAAAAAACAAGAGACTTGGTGATAAAGCAAACCTGTCTTCTTCTCATCCTTGCCATTTTTATATATATTATAAAACACGTAACTTGTAAATATATGTACGGCTAAATAAATGAGAAAAGAAATAAAAAACAAAGCAGATTTTTTTTGATCTCTGTAAAATGATTGGCAGAAGAAATCTTCATTTTTTGATGGTTAAAAGTTTACCATGATGATCTCTTTACCTAGAGATCATCAATACTGATATCATATCATGAAGATCTCTTTAGCTAGAGATCATCATAGTATTATTCATCCCTCCAATATCTTATTGAGATAATAAGCTGTCATAGTTGTAGCAAAATAAACTTTTTCGTAACCAATTGTCCGGGCATTCGAAAGCTTTTCAGATGCCCCAACAAAAACATTCGAAACAGCGAAAACATTTAAGAACACCCTTCAAGATACCAAATTTATTAAACAATAGATGAGAATATCTTTTATTAATTTTATCAAGTAATAAAAATTAAAGATTTAATATTTTTGAGATTTTCATTGAGTATTTTTATTTTCAAGTCTTTTACATCTTGAATCTTGAAAATAAATGTTTGGCAAAAGTACAATGTTGTTTAAAATGATAGCCAGGGTTTAATGTATTAAGAATAATTTTTATTTCTAATCTAAGAATACAGTTTTCGCACTTACTGTATTTTATGTTTAAGCATTACATTCAAAAACAGTTTTTAAATAAAATGTTGACATTTTTGCAGGCAAGTTATTCACTCAAATTTTGCATTTAAATTATTCATTCACTTTTGCGTTTAAGCAATAATATAATAAATAATTACTTTTTTTTATATATAGAACTCTATAATTTCAATTCATTTTTCATTGATTTAAGAAAGGTTTTTTTGAAAAAGGATAACTGCTACATTAGATTAAATTTTTTATTTGTTTCTGTAAAATTAAAACATATATTACTCGGAAATGATGAAGAGCCACATAATTTGGGTTAAAGAGCCACGGGTGCCGACCCCTGTGATAGAGATAGCTCTGCTAATGTATAGTAGGGTTATAATCAAAATGATACATGTATGCAATTACAATACATAATGTGTGATAAGACGTGTAACATGCTACTTCTAGCATAATGCATAGGGGAAGATGGGGCACAGTGGATCGGATTTTTTTACTTTTTAAATTGAGCAAAAGTTAAAATATGTATTTAATTTTTTTCTAGGCGAAAGGATTAAAATATATGTCCTTCATGATAGTAAATCTCTAAAACCCAAAAATTTATTATCTAACCGCTCACAGAAAAGTTTAAAGTGAGTTGTGTTATGTTACTCATTGTGCACCAGTACCAGGTCACAGTGAATAAATGAACACAACCGTGAATTAATGATATTGAATAGAGGCATAGTCAAATAACTTTGAGGCTGAGGGAGTAAAGACACTGTACATTATACTTTTGGCATACTTTTAATGATTAGATTAGTATATAATTGATAAAATAGACATTTTGAAAATTAAGAAAAAAAAAGAGTTTTATTGATAACAAAAGTTATAAAAATATTACCAAATTATTAAACTATCATTATTCATAACTTAAAACTAATAAGTTCATGTAGTTTGTCTGTTAAAAATGCATGAATTTAATCTTTAAGATCATTAAATGGGCATAGTGAATCAATCTATTTACTGTACCCCAATTCACTGTGCCCCTCCATAACAAACTAAGTTTACGTCTAATTTCTTGAGACATGAATGTTGTTAAAAGAAAAGCTAAACTACTTGAGACATGAATGTTGTTAAAAGAAAAGCTAAACTACTTGAGACATGAATGTTGTTAAAAGAAAAGCTAAACTACTTGAGACATGAATGTTGTTAAAAGAAAAGCTAAACTACTTGAGACATGAATGTTGTTAAAAGAAAAGCTAAACTACTTGAGACATGAATGTTGTTAAAAGAAAAGCTAAACTGCTTGAGACATGAATGTTGTTAAAAGAAAAGCTAAACTACTTGAGACATGAATGTTGTTAAAAGAAAAGCTAAACTACTTGAGACATGAATGTTGTTAAAAGAAAAGCTAAACTACTTGAGACATGAATGTTGTTAAAAGAAAAGCTAAACTACTTGAGACATGAATGTTGTTATACACTTATACAAAACTACTAAAAGGAAGCATGAATATCAATAATCCGAATGAAAAAATTCAACTTTTAAAATTATTTTAACCATGATCTCCATAACAAACATAAGGACGGTAAGAAAATTTACTTTAGTTAGCTAAAAACAAAAGTTACCTACCAAAAACCGGTAGTCAAAAAATGTCGTAACAACTATAAATAAAGATGACTGATAAATGAGCATATAAAATGATGTATTATCAAGATGAACAAAGTTCTAATCTTTGAGAAAATACCACTGTGCCCCTCGATCTACTGTACCCCAACTTCCCCTACATACATAGACTGATCAATTTTTACTATACTTTATTCAAATAACTACAAACTAACACAAACTAACTTACGATACTTTTTTTAAATAAAACTTTAGTAAAAAGTATTGTATTTTAACTTACTATATTATTTTATTTCAGTTTGATCAATGAAAATTTGAGACAAGGTAGAAAACGTTTTTTTTTTAAAAGCAAATGAAAAAGAACCCATTTTGTTATTTAAAGTTAGTTATTACATTTTTTAAAAAATCTACTTATTAAATAATAAAGCATTGTTATATAAACATCACGCGTTCTTTTTCTTTTTTTTTAAAGATAAAAAAAAACTAATATGGATGAACTTTAACGTTAACAAATAGTTGTTTTTGAAAAGTTATGAAAAAATTTATAAATATCGTTTGTTTGGAAAAACACTGTAAAAACAATATGAGCTATTTTCATAAACGTTTTTGCTTGTCACACATACTGACATCTAATTATTTTGAGCCGTCTTAAAAAGCATACTAGAACCCATAGTTTGCATTTCTCACGGGAGATTTTGAGTAAGCTAAGCGCATGCAATAGAAATTATATTATTACGCTTACACATAATTTTTTTTTGTGCTACAAATACCTTAATCAAAAGCAAATTAGGTAACGGTTTTAAAAATTTGTTTAATTTCGCTGAAGTTGATTTTGATTTTAATAATAGTTTGAATATACTGGTTAAAATAATTAGGATAATTATTTAGTAAAAATTTATTACCATATATGGAGTTAAAAAATTTTTGAGAAAAAAATAATGTTAAAATATTATTGTATTATGTACAAAATTTAGGTCTCCTAAAAAAAATGGTCCTCAATTTCCAAGATATTTTAGAACTTTTAGATTCTGGTAGGCGGGGTATGCAATCCCCCATGGATATATATATATATATATATATATATATATATATATATATATATATATATATATATATATATATATATATATATATATATATATGTATATATATATATATATATATATATATATAAATTTTTAAATTAAAGTTGACATAAATGTCTTAAGGTTAAAATTACCTAGCATCAAAATCAAAATAGCTTTTTTTTAGTTCATTTAATAAATTAATTTTGTTTTAATGAACTTCATTATAAAGAAATTATAACGTTTCTACTTTGTGAATGTGAAAAAATGTATAAAACTAGGTTTGCTAGAATCTGTAATCTAAATATGTAAACATGTAAATATGCTAAATATGCTAAATATGTAAATTCTGCTAAATATGCTAAATATGTAAATTGTAATAAAAAAACTTTATTGGATTTTGGAACAAAACAAACAAACAATGGGTTTGACACTCATTAAATTGAAATAAATAGCTTTTTAGTAATAAAAAATTTCTATAGACCTTTTTTTCTAGGGAGAAACGCAACGTGTGTCTCAAATGTAAAGTTTTTGAACCCAAACTAAAACTTTCAATTTAAAAGTAACTTTTTTTTTATGACAGAAAATCAAATTGCACAAAACGTCAAGGCCCATCTTAACTGCTGCAAAGGTGAACCAAAACTGCACTAATTACAAGTTTTTTTGAACAAACAAGTTTTGCAAAGTTTTGTATACTTGATTTGTACATAGTTAATTCTAAATATTTTTTAATTCAGAAAAGAAAAACCACAGCTATGCTTTTACAATCGAATCCTTTGAGAATTTTTTTAAATAGCTTTTTAAGTTCAATTAGTTGCTAATATAAAATTCTCATAGGAATAAACTCATAAAAACGATATTTTAATACTTTGGTAATACAAGTCTTAATTTAAGCTTGCACTGTGGTCTAAGTATTACTTAGTTTCAATTTAAAGGCTGTAGTTGTGTAAATGTTTATATATTAAAATATGCTACAGATATAAAAATATAAGGAAATTTAAAACGATCGTTGTAAAACTCGTTATCTAACTCATCCATGACTAATTTTTATTTAACAAACATTTATTATATAAAGCTTGAATTAATTATTAGTTGTTTTTTGTGTTATGAATTTATTTTATAATTTTGTTAATCTATACTTTAGACATGTTTTAAAATAAATTTTATTAATATTGCACAAACAAAATCTTTGTTTTTAGGCGTTATATTGAAGACAATGTTCAAAACCCTGGTAACAGTTTTGCTGGTTTGTTGGAAAGCACATGAACTGTTTGGAGCCGACATTGGTTTGGGACTTGGATTTGGAAAAAGTTCTCAACCCTATTCGGACGCATTAAATATTCTTAAAAGCCAAGGTGTTCGTAAAATTAAAACATGGTCAATTAATTCTGCTTGGCTTTATCAAGTTGAAGCTGTGTACGGAAAGGTAAAATGTTTCATATATACATTTATACATATACTTGTAAATATATATATATATATATATATATATATATATATATATATATATATATATATATATATATATATATATATATATTTAATAAATATTTAGAATAACGTAGAAGTTACGGTTGCTATTCCCAATTCCGACTTAAGGAAAATGTACAATGACCAAAAATACATAAAATGGGTTCTTCAAGAACTTAAAAGATATCAAGGAATAATAAAATTGGTAAAATTTAATAATTAAATAATTAAATTCTTGTAAGCATAGGACATTCTTTTAATTTACTGAACGCAAAGATTAATTGCGCTTAGAAAAATTAATTACACCTTTTTAACGCTTTTTTTTTTTTTTTTACTTGTTTACGGTTTTTAAATAGTAATTTCTCTTAAAATACTTCAAAGGCTGTATATTTAAATTGTGTCCTGTATTGTTATGTATAAAATCTCTAATTTCTTAAATTACTCATTGAAACTTAAATTGCCTATATAGGAATTTTATAGCGGTTCAATCAATCATATATATATTCTGAAAATTAATCATATATATATTCTGAAAATTAATATATCTTCTGAAAATTAATTTCATGGATATTTACAAATAGTAATTCTACTAATCTTAAGTAAACACCAAAAATACAGATCTTTATATATATAATTAGTAATAATTATAAGATAATAATAAAAATAATATTTATAGTAATAAACATATGAACCACAGTAATAATAATAGTAAAAAAAACAATAACAATTATAATAGTAATTGTAATAACGATAATAATCGAAATTATAAGTCACATGTTATTCATAAACACAATAGCTAAATATATATATATATATATGAGTTAGTTACAAACAGTTGACTGAAAAAACGTAACAACTAACAAGGACATAAAACAGTTATTTAAATTGAAAATAATAAAATAGGAATAATAATAGTAAAGTTAAAAGTAATAATAATTGTTGTTACGATAAATATTTAAAATTACTAGTAATAATACTATAACAAAAAACATAACAAAAATATGATAAAAATTGAAGAAAAAATGAAGAAAAACAAAAAAGCATTAAAAAAATGAGAAAGTTCAATATTGTTACATACATACACAAACATAAATATAAAGATATAAACACATACTTACCCACATGCATAGATACACACATATTTGCACATAAATACACACGCGCGCGTACATACACTCACATACATATGTATATGTGTATACATACACATATATATGTGTATGTATACATATGTATGTGATACATATGTATACATATGTATCATATACCTATATATATAGATACATATACATATATAGTTTTAAAATATATACATTTTATATACAACTTTAAAAATATACATTTAAAAAAAATGTCTTACCAACGTAAAACTAAAAAAAAAAAAAAAAAAAAAAAACCGACGCAAACAACGCATTAAAACATACAACAATATCAACTATACACTAACAAAAAACAAAAAACAACAACAAAACAAACGTCCCTCAAAATAAATAAAATAAATTTTTTTTTTTTCGTATCTTTCGTATCGTATTTCGTTCATTGGACTTTTGCTAGAGGACCATTAGTGACAGCCACTTTAAATGGCAAGCCGATAATTTTCCGAAATTTTAATAGTAGCTAGTCATCAAATAACCACTTTTGGCGGCTGCCACAAATGGTCTACTAAGTAGCCGATGAGCAAAACTACAGCGGTCCGCTCAAAATACTTATATAAGTCTACTGAAATTCCACTATAGCATGCTTGCTGGGCACCTTAGGCAACCCAGCGAATATTCTATAGCGGAATTTCGGTCAACCTATATAAGCATTTTGAGTGGTCCACTGTAGTTTTTCTCATTGGCTAGTAGTTAGTAGACCATTAGTGGCGCCACCGAATTTGGCTTGCAGATTACTAGCTACTATGTCACAAGTTATACTGTTATCGGCTGGTAACTTATAGCAGATGCCACTAATGGTCAACAAAGTAACCGATGAGCAAAATTCCAATGAACAGCTTGAAATGCCTTCAAAGGTTCACCGCAAATTCATTACTATAATGTTTGCTGGGTACTTTTCACTCTCAGGTAATATTTGTGGGAAAAATTTTATATCAATATATATAAAAAAGTGGCAACATTTTTACACCAAAGTTTTTATTTTATCAGAACACAATTAATGCCTTTTAATACTGTGTTTAAAGAATTGTGTTAACTATACTAATAAAATCCCAAATAATTTTTTATGTTTATATAAAAAATAAAGAAGGCGGGCACTTCATAGTTATTTGTGCGGCCGTGGCGCAGTGGTTAGAACGCTTGCTTTATTATCAGGAAACCCAGGTTCAAAACGAGATTTGGACATATTTCGGGACACGGTAAGGAAGGAGCCGCACACTTCCTGGTTAAATGCACTTCCGCATTGCTCTGTGACAAGATCGTTAGGACTTCTTGCGGCACCTAAATAACAAATAAATAAAAAAAATTGCTCTTTTCAAATGTTATTAGGTAAATGTTATTACCTAATAACAAAAACCTTATACATAATACCTAATAACATACGTTATTACTTAATAACAAAAAAAAACAAAAACATTAAATATGTAATTTTCTATATATATAAGAGAGGCTATGTTTGAATGTAAAAATAGTAAATAAACAATTAATATTAATATTTGTAAATCTAATAATCAATGCTATAAAAAGTTTTTTTTTTTTTTTTTTTGCATTACTTTTTAGGTTGCTATTGGAAATGAGCCATTTCATGAAGAAAATCGTGCTCTAGCAATGCCGCATCTCCTTAGTGCTTTTAACAGCATGGTAAAACTTCTTAATGAAAATGGACTGCAAGAACATATGAAGGTTGTTTTTTTTTTATTTTTTATTTTTCGTTTTCAACGCTCGTGCCAATTTCTTGGTATGCTATAAAATATTTTGAAGTAAATAATAAAACAAACTTTTTAATGTATAAAACTGATGGTTGATACAACAAAAGGTTTTGCAAGTTATTTAATATTGTTCACTAAAATCTTATAGTTAACTGTTTTTATTCAAATAATTTAGGTGACAATCCCATTTAGTGCTGTTGTTTTAACCAACACTTATCCTATTGACAGCACAGTATTTCATCCAGATATAATTGAAACAATGAAAGAAGTAACTGCTATAATGAAAAACACTGGATCAGTATTCAGCATAAATATCTACACCTATTTTGCTTATATTGGCGACAACAAAATTTCTCTAAACTTTGCGCTCGGAAAAGAAAATTCGCTCTTTGAAGCAATGCTATCTGGATGTCGTGTTGCACTTAACAAGATTGGAGCAAACTTAGTGCCTATCATTGTTGGAGAAACAGGGTGGCCATCAAATGGAGGACCTAAAGGTATTCTAAAATTTTTATTTATTGAAAAGAAAACTTTAAAAATATAGTTTATTAAATAAAAGCTTTCTTTGTACTTACCAGGTACAACTATCGAAAATGCTAGGGTATACACTCAACACATTTTGGACTTTGCAAAGAGAAGTGATTTGGCCAAAACTATTTACATATTTGAAGCTTTTGACGAAAGTGAAAAAAACGGCTTAGAAACTGAAAGAAATTTTGGCATTGGTTACGAAAATCGAAAGGTAACAAAAATCAAAACATTTTGTAAGATTTTTAAATTTATGTTACAATAGTGTAATGAATTAATATTTTAAGATAAAAAAAGTTCTTTTATAAAATTGTTAAAATAAGTTGTATAAAAAAATAAGTTTTATAAAAAAATAAGTTTTATAAAATTGTAAAATAAATTGTAAAATAAGTAAGAGAGTGTTTTTTCATTTTACTCTAATATTTTGTATAATGTATAATTTATATATATATATATATATATATATATATATATATATATATATATATATATATATATATATATATATATATATATATATATATATATATTATATATATATATATATATATATATATATATATATATATATATATATATATATATATATATATATATATATATATATATATATATATATATATATATATATATATATATATGTCAGCCTTGGTCGGGAAGCGGGAGCGATCGCTCTCGATTGCTGACCACGTAAATAATATTTAGTTGCGAAAAGCTGGCCAGATTTTTAGTCGTTTTGAGAACATTTTAAAAAGCAAAAAAAAAAAAAGCAATTAATTGGACCGATGAGAGACAATTACAAAAAAAAATTAAATTAAGCGATGTTTTTTATATAAAGTAACAACTGACGATTGTTTAAAAGGGAAACAAATATTCTTTATTTAACTAAGTTTGCAAGTTTTAACTTTACTTAAGCAAAATTATTTTATAAATAAAAAAGTTAATTTTTTTAATACCTTTTTTATGTTTCGCGTAGTTTGAAAATTTTAACATATTTGAAGCGATTCTTCTTAGTAAGATAAACAAATGAAATAATTAAATCATTGAATTACTATAGGAATTAAATTATCAAGATAGAAATCAACTAAAAAGGTTAAAAATACTTAATGACCAGGAAGCGAAACTGCTTCACAATATCGCTGATGATGTTTAGTGAGTGGGCTTTTTAATTTTAATAAGTATTTAAAGCAGCAAAAAGTATAACGAGTTTTAAGAATGGCAATTTAAGCGAAAATAATTAGAGTTAGTAAACGTATATCTAGAAACTTTTCTTTAAATCTAATAATTTGCTATATATATTTGTGTTTTGTCGTGACCTCAGGCGCGATGCTTGTTCATCCGCGAGTTACTTTGTATGCGTTGTTTGTGTTTAGTAACCAGAAACTTCTTATATGTTTGTTACATAATTAGTTTTATTAACTTTAACGATTATAACTTCATTGAAAACGCAATTATTTTTGTAAGTCTTTGTTTAAATCATGAAAATTGCTTCAAAAGATACATTATGATAAAAAACAAATACACAAAATTACATTTACATAAAGAATACAATCTCTTTTAAAATAAAAAATAAGAATATACTAATAAAATCTATGATTTATAATAAACTTTTAAAATTTTGACAACTTAATATATATTTAAAACATTTATTTTTGTAAACAAACAAATATTTTTAAAACAATTTATGCTAGAAATCTCAAAACGTAACAAATCGTGAATTGAAACATTTCAACAGAATACTCTAGAACTTTATTTCGCTTAATCAGCGTATTTTTTGAACCAATAGAATTAGTTTGTTCGTTAATTTGGCGGGTTTTAAGTGTTCGCAAATATTCTTTTTATTCTTGCGCTTAAAGATGTTTTGAGAACATTCAAGTTTTTTATGTTTCCATGTATGTCCGTAAAACAAAAATTTTTGTTTCGTACATAAACTTAAATGTTCTCAAAACGACTAAGAAAACCTGGCCAGTTTTACGCAACTAAATATAAATTCCAGTATTCGAGAGCGATCGCTCCCGCTTCCTGACCAAGCCTGATATGTATATTGAGAGAGAGAGATTGTTATTGTTATTACTATTAATATAATTGTTATTATTACTATATAATGGTATGGTATTGTCGGCTTGGCCGTGTCACGTTTTCCTGTTTAAAATCAATCATAAGGATGTGTATCCACTAATTTTAGTAAAAGCTGTGGACATACATCCACTGATTTTGACTAAAGCTTATTTTTGACTAACTTTAATAAAATTTATAGAAGTTTTGCAATATTTAGGTATTCTTAAAATATTTCAAAAATCTAAATTTTAGTTTAAGCTTTATTTAATTATTTTTTAGGTAAAACTTAAACTAAAATTTAGATTTAGTACGAAAAACAAAAATTGTGGTCTTTTACTTCTCGACTAAGAATATTATATTTTATATTGCACATATCTAGCAAACGTTCTATAGAGGAATTTCAATGGAACTTTATTGAGCAGTCCAATGTAATTTTGCTCATCGGTTAATTAGTGGAATATTAGTGGCAGCCGCCAAAAGTGATAAAAGTAGCCGATGACTACCCGCTATACTTTGAAAGTTATGGTTGGCCACTCACACCGGATGACACTAATGGTCCACTAAGTGTCCGATGAGTTGACCAACTAAAATGCTTATATATTTCCACTGCAAATACACTACAAAAATATTTACTGGATTAAAACATGTCCAGCAAACATTGTGTTATGGAATTTCAGTGGATATAGATTCACTCAAAATGCCTATATAGATAAGCATTTTGAGAAGTTCACTTTAGTTTTGCTTTTTCGCCAAAAGCGGCTAACCTACGAGTAGCCGTTATTAACATGTTGGAAAGTTATCTGCCGGCAGTTTATAGCGGCTGTCACTAAAATCAAAACAATTTTTGCGGGGATGTTTTTTTTTTATATTCTTATAATTTATAATTGCACTATGATTCTTATTTATACTTAAGAATTATAAACCAGTTTTAAATTTTACAAAATTAAATGAAGAATTTTGACTTTGAACTTTAAGTTTCTTTTTTTCTTTGAAAAAGTTTTTTCTATTTTATTTCACTTTTCTTTCATTTTAATTTTTTGATATTTCCATTTATAATTTTTCAATTTTGTTATTTTAGTTTAAATTTGACTTTAACTTGGATGACAAGAATGTACAAAGTCCGTGCACAAAGTGGGGGTGGAAATTTTACGATTTTTATGATATCATTGAAAATGATATTGGAAGGAAATACTTTGAAAATCGAAATGATTGCCAACAGTATTGCAGAAATATGAAAGGTTAGTTTACTAAAATATTCTTATAGTTAAAATTCAAAAATAAAATTTGGCATTTAAAGTTTTTTAAAGTTTAAACAAAGCGTTTACCAATTTGATATGTATGTTTGACAAGGTAAACTCTTTTGCTTAACTCCTATTCCGACGCTGTTCTTTATGTCCGCAAACATTAAAAGTTATCGCCTTTTATTTGCAATAAATCTGCCCAAATCTAAATTTTCAATCGACTAGAATCACCGGCCTATTTCTATTTAAGTCAGTCGATCTATGTACGCTGCGCCTATTCTTGTATATCCCAAATTAAATTCGAGTTGCCGTGTGCGAAGGACGCTCAACGTCGGAGCACGAGTTTAACAAAAGAGCCCACCATTTGATAATTATTAAAAATATGTTTTTATAATATTTAGGTTGTAGAGGTTATTCATGGTTTAATAACTACTGTTACTTTAAAAGTGGCGCACAAACCTTTAAGCCAAACATAAACGTGTATTCCGCTATGATATGTTAAAAACCAAATTTATATTCTTTAACAGAAAATTTATTTAAAATGTAGTGTAAGAAAAAGTAGTATAAAATTTATAAAGAACTTTTTTCGTTGTAATTTTTTAAAATCCAATTTTAAATTAGATTTCATCGATTCAAAACGAACTAAGAGTTTTGTATCAAATACCAGTTGGTAGAGTTGGGCCTTGGTGTCTATACGGATAAGATGTTATTAGTTTGCCATATTAGAAATCTAATAAATGCACAGTTGGAAAATTTGAAAAAAATCAAATTATCGATGAATTATTTCTTATCCACTAATATTAAACGTCACCTAATATAAATCAAGTACGTTCAAAATTTCATATAATTTCTGTGTTTGATCGTGTTTCATAGAAACTTAACTTTGTAGCATTGGCGCTCATAAAATTTTTTCAACTGGGGTTTTGTTCAAACTCAAAAATATTAGAGATGGGAAATGACCCGAACCGAACAAGAAGTTTACCTACGACCTAACTGACCCGAACTGTACTTGTTACCGAACCAAATCCAAACTTTGAAATTGTTATAACGAACCGAACCGAACAAACTGTCCTTACCCGAACCAAACCGAAAAAAGATTTGTAGCAGTGAAAATTTGAATATACATATATATATATATATATATATATATATATATATATATATATATATATATATATATATATATATATATATATATATATATATATATATATATATATATATATGTATATATATATGTATATATATATGTATATATATATGTATATATATATGTATATATATATGTATATATATATGTATATATATATGTATATTTATATATGTATATATATATATATATATATATATATATATATATATATATATATATATATATAATTTTATTATATGTATAATTATAATACATAACATAAAATAATTATCATAAAAAAATAAATAAGTCTAAAATTCATAATATGATACATAACGTAGCATAAGTCTTCAATATATAACATAAAACAACTTAATAAACAACATAAGTCTGTACATAACATAAGTTTATAATAATAACATAAGACAACTTAATACATAACATAAGTCTACAATAAAAACATAACAATAAAATACATACAGATCAACCAAAACAAAAATGAACCCGACATCCCTCGATGTATAGCAAATTATATTTTGTTACAGTCAGTCTGTAAGATTGGTCTTGACAGTGACAGCATGCGTAATTTGAAGGCAGCTTTTCTATTAATATATTATTAAAGGATGAATAATATAAAAATATATTATTCATCTTTTGCACAGGCTATCAACACTTATTGTTCCTTTTTACAAACACTTGTCGTTCGTCAATGCAGAAGATCTCAGTTTTGTTTATTCAGAGATGCGTAGTATGGTAGACAAAATTATTTCTTCTTCAACAACTCAACACAGTGGGCCAAACAGCTATTTTCACGGACATTGGTTCATAACTTTTGAACAGAAAGTGCTATGCGGTTGATTAAGGACTTTTTGGAAAGGTTTTTATGTTTTTGAAAAACTAAAAAATAATTTTGCAGGATATTTAGGTCATAATTTAAAAGAACGAAATATTAAAAATTTTATAAAATTTGCGTTTTTTATAGTTTATAACAAAAATACGTATAAATGTTTATAAATGTGTATGTATATTTTGTAATACTAAGATAACATAGGTACATCAATGACAAAAAAATAAAAACTGTCAAAAGAAGTACTGGTATATAGGCAATTTATTCATATGTTAACATTTTAAAATATGTGTCATCTTCAAATAAAGGTTATTAGAGACATTTTGTTTATGAGAATATTTTTCAATTGTATCAGGGTACTCCAATTTTAAAATCTTTTTTTTTTTTTTTTTAAATATCTCTGTAATGAAGTCTCTGCTTGCTTCAGAAATCTATTTAAAGCACTAAACCTAAGACCACTCAAAAATACCAACTCTCACATGTACAATAGTTTTCATGAAATGGTCAAATATACCTATTAAAGCATGTACCCAGTAATTATTTTTAATATCAAGTATGATCATATACTAAAAATATAAAAAAATATGAACACTATTACAAGATAAAAATATGTGCAAAATAATGCAAAAAAACTATAAAAACTTATAAAAATATGTACAAAATAATGCAAAACTATTTGCATTAGTATTTTTAATATATTTAAAAAAAAATTTAAAATAAAGGGGTAGGGTCATTCTTTTACTTTTTTTGTTTAAAAGAGCTAAGTTGGCACAATTTAGTTAAAAAACATCTTATTCTTTTTTGTTATACCAGTTTAAAAATATATGGGTTTACTAGTGCCAACTTAGCACTTCTTGAGATAAATTGTTTTTTCTGATAAAAAATTAGTTAAAAAACACTAATATTTTACTAAATTTTAGTTTTTTTATTAGGTATTACATGTAAAAAACATTTCCATAAACTGAGGTCTAAGATTTCTACATACAATTATCACATTAGCACTGCTTATATAGTGATATTTTTTCTTATATAATGCCAAAAATGACTTTTATGTATCATTTGTTATTCAAACTTGTATATTTTCTGAATAAATCATTATTTGAATTAATTTTTTTTTTAATAAACTAGAAATTTATTTGGCTTTCAATAACAACTAATTTAAATTTGTTTTGGTAACATTGATTTTTGCGCAATGTCCACGATTTGGCCCACTGCTTGGCCCACTTGAGCTCAAGTGATACGCAAGGACTCATGCAGTACAGATATAGACAGCTTTAATAAATGCACTCATTCAAATCAACTGCCACCTTCAAAAAAGAGTAAAGCTGACATTAAATTGTATGATATGCTGGCAGACTTTAAAACAGTTGCCACTCTATTGTTTAAGGCTAACAGTAATGATAAAAAACAAGAATTTGACAAATGCTTGGTACTGCCTGTGACAGCGTGTGCTGCCTTGTAATTCTGGAAAAGACAATCATTGTAAAAATAATCTTTCGACAATGACATTGATTTCTAGAAGGTTGTTGGCTGTTCCTTCTACAAGTACTGCCAGTAAAATGTTTTCAGTGTGTGGGGTGACAATAAGTGACCGAAAAGTTTGCCTAAACTCAGAAACATTAAAAATGTTGATATTTCTCAAATATAACATGCAACCCTGATTACTAAACTGAAAGTAGGCTACTTAAGCTGCCATTATATGCGTACAGAATATTACTGCTTTTATTTTTTGCAGACTTTAACGGCAGCGTTTTGTTCTTTGAACTTTAAAAGTTGCATTAGTTAAAGCATTTCAAATAATTCGAATAGGGTAGAGCGTAGCATATAGGGACACTTGAGAAACCAATGCGCATTGCATGCTAGTTGAGGATAAACCTAGTCATAGTTGAAACTGTTTTTTAAATTTCATTTTTTAAATTAAAATTCATTGATATAAAAAAACGAAAAAAAAAAAAAAAAAATTCTTTAAATAAGCTACGAAAAAGTAACAAAACTCTAGACTTGAAAATATTTTTTATTTTGCAAGTGGGTGGGGCAAAATGGGACAGTTAAAAATCAGAAGTTGTTCGTTAGTTGTAAAGCTTTAGAAATATTAAAAAATGAAAGCTATCTATCATTTAAACATGTTCAGACATTAAACTCTCAAAAAAGTAACATACCTATACAAACTACACACCCATACGCTCATACACCACAAAAAGGAGATAACAACTAAAATAAAAAAAAAATTTATTTTTTATTATAAAACACCTCCGCTCTACCCTAACCTATATGTTAATAAATTGGTAACTACAACTAAATCTAAAATTAAACATAAAAATGTTATAGACATTTTTGATGAGCTGGCTTATTAGCAATATGCCAATGTAGAGCAAATTTAAATATGTTATCTGTATCAGATTTATAAACCATTTTTGTACTATTTACTAATTTGAAGATTGCGGTTTCAACGGGGACATTAGTTTTAACTTTGGGTTGTTATGGATACCTAAATAGCTTGGCAACCACATATTTTATTAATCCTAACAAATATAAACTGGAAAAAGTAATAACTTTATTGGATTACTCCCATAATTATCTCAGTGAGTATTATATACTTCAAATGTAGTGTAATATGGATTTTTTATTTGGTTGATAGTGACACCGGCAACGGTTTACTTTGCATAGTTACTAGGTTAAGTAACTTTTCTTAAAGCGTCATTATTATAAACTAGACTAATATTAATGTGGCAGTCATTTAAAAAATTTACACATTTCTAATTACTAATTTTAAGTATTTTTATGCAGTTCCAGGGTTCTATTTTATATTTCATGAAACTGCTACATAATCCATATAAAAAGAAACCTATAGCTTAAACTTTTTTGTGTATATAATAAAATAAAAATTTTGATTTAAAAGTATTTTTCGAACCAAAACTCATGCATACTGATAATTGTAAAACAATTATCAGAACAACTGAAATGAAAGTTTTAAATAAATATGAGCTTAATATTTTTAACGTTATATGCTTTATGTTTAAATGTAAAAACAATATTTCTCCTATACCTTTTCATAACTTCTAAAACAAAAAAGAAAAAACTAAATACATTTTACGAAATGATAACGACATTCGTCAATCAGCTTATAAAACTAGTTCTGGAAAATACTGTATTTCATTTCGAAGAGCATTACTTTGGAATAAAATAGTTTTAAAGAATTTTGACTTTTCTCAAGAAGTTAGCTATCACTCTTTCAAACAAAAACTTAAAAAAGTCATTTTTTTATTAGATGATATATCGATATTCTTTTAATTTTTTTGTTTCTTTTTTAACTTTATATTAAACACAGCATTGATAAAATTTATAATTTAACAATTTGTAAATAGTTGTTTAACACTTTTGTTAAAGGTATCTTAAAACTGTATAACGCATCTATGTATTTATAACGGAACCTTTTTTCTTTTTCTCTTTAAATTTGTTTATGTTTTCTAAATTAACCTTACGGTCTTTGAGTTCCCGCGTTCATTTGTTTTTAATAACGATCATGTATATATATATATATATATATATATATATATATATATATATATATATATATATATATATATATATATATATATATATATATA